CATATATCCGACCTGAACGCCATTAATACCCGACAAAGGTCACTATTCTGGGTCCTGCTATGAAAAAGAGGCAAGAAGACGATGATACGGAGAGCAGTATTTATTTTAAACCATCTTGAAAAGATTGTGTTTTTATGGGCGGGAAAGATCGCTACCATCTATGTTCACTTCCGTAAAAACAGAGCGCGGTGGCCTGTGACATCATTGCATCCTCTAATGCGCATGTGGGACACTTCCGTTGTATGACTCTTGATCACATACAAGTCACATATATTTGGAAATGTGAACGGCAACGCAAAAAAAAAATCGGAATTGAGCATCAAGGCCTGCAGTGTGAACGTAGCCTCCTTGTCATCGTCTGCAGGTTTGCTGCCTTGTGGTTCCTGTTTAGATGTAATTCTCTTTTTTTCTTTGTTTCAAATGAAGTTTTCTGAATTTGTGAAAGGGAAAGTTTGTTTTCCAACCATCTTTGGGCTTTTACAGTCAGCAGTGAGGATGAAGGCGAATTTGATGCGTGGCTGTATACACAGGTTCCTTATCCGCCCTCGGAGCGTTAAAAGCCTCAGAATCTCTCCCAGTCTCACTGACTGGACTTTTTTCATAGAGAGCTTTTGGTTTCTGTGCTGCAGCATCAGGGAAGATAACACCAAGTGGATTCTGGTCGCTCTTTTTAAACAGGGCGCTCGTGTCCCCACTGATCTGAGTCACTTACTGGTGAAGAGGTCCGTGCTTTCCTGATTGCAAATGAGCTGCTCTCATCTTCTCTTTCAGATTTATTCCCTCCATTCATTTTGATGGTTGCGTTTTCGGTGTGTATGTGTGTGGATTCGTGGGTGTGTTTTCATAATATAAATGCAAATAATATTTTATTTCTTTTCTTTTTTTTTCCATTTTCCATCACAGAACCTACAGTGGGCCAGAGATGTGTTGCTAGGAAGCAGTGTCCCATGGCAACAGCTGAAGCACATGCCAGCACAAGGACTTTTCTGTGAAAGAAACAAGACCAACCTGTTCAACGTAAGTCAAAGAGCTCTCATGCGTGCCCCCATTTCAGTTTCACGAGTTTCACGTCACTCAGTGAGGAAACATTAAAGGCTTACTGGACGATTTAAGAGAAAATTAGTTTGATACCAATTTGGTTAAAAGTTTTGGGGTTATAGAAACATTAATGGGTCAACATTTCTGTCTTTGAGTTTTCTTAATTTAACAATAAAACAACTAAAATGGGGGACTACTGATCTAGCTGCTGCAAAGAAGTTCATCTGATTGTTTAATTCTGGTTTGCAGATTTTTACGGAGTGAAATGTGTTCCATTATTTTTGCAACCAAATGAACAGGGTTTGTAAATGGACATTTGAAATCCAAACTTATATAAATATTTTAATCAAATAAGGTTTTGAGGGTAATTTTGCTATTTTCACTACTTTTATCATTTCAGATTATTTATTTCAGTTTTTATTTTTTTTAAATAAGTTTATGTTGATTTTATGTTTTAAAATTCAATAAAAAAAGTTTTTCTCCCTGATTTTTTAATATGATTTCCCAGATTACATCCTCTTCAGGCCCAATACAAACGCTTGCTTCTTGACCAATCAAATGTTGCTGCTAAGATCCAGAGGACCAATAGAGATGCATCTTTGTTCCTCACTAAAAAGGAAAGCTCATCCCCAGAAATAGATAGAATTCATGAAAATGTAATCTGAAAAACGAAAAGTAGGATTAAATTAGGAAAAAATAAATAAATAAATAAATAAAAATATATATGTATATTCGGGGAAAAAAAATCTAAAATTAAAGAAAAGAATTTCAATTATTGTCATTACATTGTCAAAGGTACAATGAAATTTATACAGCAGTTTATATAGTTGGTGTCAGGAGACGATCAGGAGGGTGAAAGCTGTGAGGAAGAAAAAAAAATGAAAATATAAAGTCTGTTTTTTTTCAATCTGAGAATCAGCAGTTACTCTCAGAACCGAACTGTGATCATACAAAGAACTTGTAGAGTAATGTTAGATTAATTGTTTTTCTG